AAAAAAAAAAAAAAAAGGGCTGACCTTTTTCTTCTCTTGAGAATGGTCATCATCATCAGAAGAAACCAGCAACTTCTCCTGTTCTTTGCCCTTTTTCTTCACCACTGCCAAGTGAACTAGTTTACCTCGCAAATCATCTATAGTGATACGCTTTGACGAAGGCATGTCTTGACTACCATCATCCTTATCTTCTCTCAGAATATAGAGATCAGAACTCCTCCCTGGAGCCAGCTGCAGATACCAAACCCCGGGAAATACTTTCATTTGCCAATAACCCAGATTTGCCATGACAAGGGTATCCACTAGGTGCGGTGTATTTTTAGTTCCAAGGATCAGCTGAAGGCCTCGGGGAGGTTCATGATCCTTCTCTGTACAGTGACCTGGTCATAATTGCTTACCAATTAGAATGATAAACTACTGCTGGTTTATTGTAGACTATCATTGAGTTTGACAATAATTACATGCAAACGTCAACTATAAATATACTCTCCAAGGAACAGAAGTTACCAGTAAGAACAAGAGCTTCAAGTTCAAATTCTGCTTGCAATGTCCTTATGTTGCCTAGGTTCTCAAGCAATATATTATCCAGGTCATGGCTGAAAAATTTAATGACAAAAGAAGAAGTGGACATATAACAAGTTAAGAGAGTAACCCATTGCAAAATAATTAAAAATTTCTAAATATGTACACAGCAACATTTCAGGTAGTTTGCAAGCCAGAAAGAAGTATACATAGCATTTACAGGCTCGAGAAGCCAAGGCTCCGGAACATCCAGATTCATGGTGAGGGTTTTGGACAGTGGCATATTTGCAAAGAATGCTTTAGGGCCATATACTGTATAATCAGTACTGCTGAAGTCATCCTGTAAAATTATGGCAAAATAAGATACCACACAAAGGAAGTCAACTAAAGGAGCTATAAGGGACAGATAAATTGGGGATACCATTGTGGGTACTACGTATCGGTAGTAATTCTTCAAAGGAAGATCAACAAGGGAACTCTGTCAAGAAAACCTAGAATATTAGGTTCGTCAAAGACAGTTTTGGAAAATGAGATTAAAAGCAACATTTTCAAAACAAGTGACAAAGAATGTTTACTTTTTTTTATTATTTTTTTTTATAAGAGTATATTTTGTAAAAAAAAATGAAGAGAAAGAAGCACATAGCTGAGAATGATCATGCCAAACACTTCAATATACAGACTAATGTATCAACTCATACAAGAAAAGCACATGGAAAATTAAGGGTTTCATTTTTTATGGCAGGAATATGACCTAATGGTCTTAAATTGGCACTCTATTGTAGATCAGGCAAACAACTTTGTTAATCACAAAAATATCCCACACAAACTGCCAGTTTGAGAAAAAAATGAGATGGCGAATGTTGAATCAAAGTCAACTTCTTCCTCCATAATCAATGGAACCTTATAAAAGCAACAACATTACGGAGAATTAAATAAGAAAAACAATATCAACTATTTGCAAAGAGGAAAGAAAAACTTGTTTTCTCTTTCTTTGTTTCGAGGATGCATGTCATTTTGACAGTTCGATGCACGATAAATGGTTTAACTTACAAAGAGTCTCAGCTTTTTCCGTATAATTCGGAGGGCACTTATACATATCGGTCACGGCGTCGCGGCGCGATATCAGGCGGTATGCTCAAAACACTAGATAGAGGCTCCAAAAAAATCATGAAAAATTCTAAAAAATATAATTAACAGCATTCATTCATCATATGGTCAAAATACATCAACTAACATATTAAACATAGTTAAAATACATTATAAGGGCGTTACCGAAAATATGTGTTATCAATAGTGTTAAATATAAGAACATACCCAATCAAAATTAATTTATGTCCTATTTTATATCAATAATAAAGCTTAATAAAATATAGTAATTTAATATGTGTAAGTCATAAGTAGACCTACATTACCGATATAAGAAATAAAGTACATTATTAGAATTTGTTTAGGCGTTTTAGGACCAAAAAGGAATATACAATAATATATAACAAAACTTATTAAAAAAATATTTGTGCTAGACATTTATTAAGTTATTAATAAAAACATACTGAAAATATTACAAATTAGAAAAAAAAAATTAAAAAGAGTAAAGGACCCTTCAAAAGAGTCGTGTGAATGCAAGGGGAGAACTTCACACGACTTCGTCTGTGAGTGAGTGTGTGAGAGAGAGAGAGAAGACTCAAGGGAAGAAGCGACAACACAGGGGATTGAACGCCTGACTCTATGAATTGCAATAGTTTCGCAAAGAAGAAAAGGGCTCTCACAACAATTTTTCTAGATGTTACAGGTTTTTTCGTAAAAATTGGTTTAATTTCTTCCTTCTGCTGGCAAACATGGACTAATTAGGTTTGTAATTGGAAGATTGCATATGATTCTGTGATTTAGGGTTGGAAGATTTAGGGTTTAATTTACTTCTTCCCTTTTGCCTCTTTTTTGACATTTTTCTAATATTTAAGATCTGTCAATTGGTTTTGAGGACATCGGTTCAACTCATATATGACTCGTCCGATTCAAGAGAGTTACATCTAATTTGTACCGATATTGCCGAGTTATGACCGAGTCGGAACCGATTCATGTGAACTCGGGATATTTGCATTGCATAACTCATTATTGGTTCGGTGGTGGCCGAGTCGTATCAGACTTGGCCTATATTTTGAATCATGATCGCAAATAGAAGCACGTTAGAGCCATCCCAGTTCAATGGAAAAAGAAAAAAATATGACCAAAGAAGAAAAAAGGAAGATTGAAACGTGGGCTTTGGGTTCTCCACGCAAAAAGGTTGCCACTTCACCCAAAAAAATAACACCCACCACAACCCAAGAGAAAAGCGAAAATTGAAAACAACAACTAGGCACAAATATAATAGGATTTGCGCCATAAAAAACTGCCAGACAATGATGGACAACATTTTGTTGTCCTCTTCTTGTATCCTTCCTTTTCCTTAACAATTACCATTTCTTAAGGATGTTTACTCTAGGCTTTATGGCTAACTCATATAAACACAAAAAATATAATAAAATATTAAAGGCCACTTGTAAATGCAACTCATATTTAAAAATAATAACTCAATCTCGACGCAGCTAAGCTATAGATCTCCAAAATCAAATAAGCTCTTCCAGATAATAGAAATGTATTGAGTTAACATGCAAACAAAAGACAGTTCTAACAATATATTTTCTGTTATTCCAAGATTGGCTTACCATAAAAGTAGTGAAGATATTTTAAGCATTACTAACACCAACGTAAGCAAAGGAGAATAAACTCACCAGTGGATTAAGAACAAGCCTCATACTTGGCTGAATGCATTTCGACAATACCCGAAGAAGTGAAGACAACTTTTGACCAGAAGGACTCAAGGGATCAACAACAGCATCAATGTGTATGCTAGAATTCTCATTATTCAAAACAACAGCACTGTGCACATCCAAAAGAACAAAAGTTGAAATTGCCTCAAGGGAAGCATAGTTCGAACATAAAGAAATAATCATTCCAAGTCCCACAAAGTAGAAATAACCCATAAAAGCATGTTGTGTAGCAAAGAAATAAGTCCAATAGACCACTGCAACATGGTCAAAAAATATTCCCCTAGAAACAATAAAGCAAAAGGTAGTATGTTCCAACAAGTCATTTTAAAGGATCAAAATTTCGTTTCAGTGCATTGTTTCGGTCACCTAAGAAACGAAAACGTTTCGACGTGTTTCAAAAACATTTCATCCAGTTTCGGAAACATAATGAAAAAAAATAAAAAATTTAATAATTATTTTTTCAAACATTGGTCGAAATAAACCAACGTTTCTTGAAATAGTATGAAACATTTTGAAACAGTTGTACAAATGCATTGAAATATTATAAAACACCTTAAAACATTATGAAACAACTCAAAATATTAGAATTTAGATTTCACCACTGATTCGTTTTGGTCTCCTTAAAAACAGAAACATTTCAGATATTTTGACCGTTTCGAAACAAAATTTTGATCCTTGATTTTAGTACTTTCCAACAAATGGAAGAATGATTGCCGGATACAAATTCAATGTTAAAGTCCATATACATAAAGCAGCAGCAAGGTCATAAATAAATAACAAACCAAGATCCATAGAACCATTTTGTACCTGTATTTTTGTCCTCATTTCCATTTTAGGATGTACCCAACAAATTCCCCCATTTGACAGTTAGAATCTATTTTTCAGTGCTTTTTTGGAATCTAACCTTTTAAATTGTGAATTCAAAAGAGAAATAGAGTAAAGTTTTCCCACGTCCATTATTTAAACGGGGCAGATATGCTAGCTAGAAATCGTATAATTCAAAGTCAAAACATTGAACAGGTCTCAAAAAAAATTATGCAAAGCCTAATGGTGCTATTTCTGAGGGACGGAGGGACCATCTGATTTGTCAATCCAATGTCTTCTAAGATGATTACAATAGCTATTGGCCCACAAATTGAAATGACCAACAACAAATGTTACATTTGCATAGCTGCTTGCATTTGACAATTGGCTTTCGTGTAATTCTAACAAGGAAATCAGTCCACAGACATCAAAGCAAGCTCAGAGTTAAAAATGGCAGTAAACGCTGGACAGAAAGTTGAATTCATGAGAGTAAGGGTGGACAAAAAAGGTAATATTTACAGGGGGAAATCTACAAGATACAATCCCAAATTCATACTGCAGGTGAATAAAGATGGTTGAAAGCCTAGAAGGACAAGGATGGAGACATTCAAACTGCTTTTAGTTATTAAACTACAAAGATGGCATGGAATAAAAAATATAGTATAACAAGGTGTGCTTCCTGTTTATTCAAAAAGCTCTGACTTTATCAATAAAGAGGCTATCTCTTGACTGGAATGCGCATCTCGAGCTGTTTTAGTGGACCAATCCATAATGTAGGGGTGAAAGGCGTAATAATGCAATTGTCTTGAGGAAAGTATCTAAAACACATCATCCAGTTTGGTCCTCATTGAGTGGGTGTGCTGGATGAGGTGAACTTCGTACCGATATTTGGCTTTGTTTGCAAAAAATAGCTGCCCCCAGTTTGCGACACAGTTTTTACCACCACATGTGGCCCCTAGTAGCCTCAGTATAATATGACTTAAATAGTGTTAAATAGTTGGATTCAATTAAGTGTTTTGTGAAGAGTGTTGGGCTCTCTGGTTTTTAGGTTCTTGTTTGTTGTAATGTTCTTTCTCTCTTTCCATCTTCTTTTTGCAATGCTCTTTCACCTTGATGTGCTTTCAGAAAGCAATTTTGAACTGCCTTGATTGCTTTACCTCCTTGCATTTACATTCCACTAGAAAATTTTTCATATGTAGGTTATATGCTAGTGAAATCATCACCTTAGCCATTGAAAACCAAAAAACATGATTCCAGGTAAGAAATAATGAGCCCTGGTCTACAAACTATCTGCAAAGCAATTTCACGGAAAGTAGCCTGTACCTGTATTCAGCGCTCAAAATTTCAAAGCGGGCACTTTCAGAACTTCGATCACGCATAGCAATTGNCGGAAAGTAGCCTGTACCTGTATTCGGCGCTCAAAATTTCAAAGCGGGCACTTTCAGAACTTCGATCACGCATAGCAATTGAAGATGAAATGACCATGATGACATCACTGATAAATTTGCTGCAAAATAAAATTTTGTCATGCAAAGAAAAATCCTATCACCAATACAGACAACAATGCTTATCTAAAAAAGATGAAACTTGAACTCAGGAAGTGGATCAGACTAACTACTTTATTTATCTGTAAATAAACAAGTTAATGAAAAGACAGGAGATGATCACACTGGCATCAGACTCGCACAAAGATAGAAGAGTGAGTTTGATCAAGATCCTGAAAGCAGTGGCACCGAATGAAATGTTTATATATATCAAATGAAGAGAGCATAGATAGTGTTTTATAGAATCACTTGTGCAACACCTGGACAAATCAGATCATCTTGTACATATGTATGCACATTCACAACGAAAGAGAATTTATAGAAATTGCAAACAAGCAAATTGTCATTTTGATTAAGTAGCAAATTGCAATCTAGACAATTTGCATAAATATTCCTCAGATTGGACTTGATCGACAATCAACTAACATAAAACCTTTAAGGTCAAAATTATTAAGGAAAATCCATGTCAATCTAAAAATTTCTATAGGCAATTTTTCCTATTGCTGCAAAATCCATAATTTAATTGCCTTCACCAATAATGCCAATGACAAGGAATTGCGAATGATGAAGCCCATATTTCGAGTAGAATTACAGATCTGGGCAGATCGTAAATTATTATGTGACTTTTTGTCTGCATTTTTCTGGTAACCAAAAGTCTTAAATATGCTAGCTGTCTCCTTCCATTAATGCAGAGGGAAGTGTCCAATGTGCTACCGGTCATAGCTGTTAGTATCGTACAATACGCAATATGATACATACGATATGTTTCGATACATGAAGAAAATGATATGTATCGCTTATGTGTATCAGTTTGCACCATATCATGTGATACACAATACAATACACCTGATACAAGACGATACATATACGTCGTCCGATAAGGGGGTGAAATAGATAAAAAAATTAACGACGTCATTTCACTATCTATAGTTTTAAAAAATAAAAGTCTTTTTTTTTATTCGTTCCATCGCATGAACAAATAGTTTGATTATTAAAAATATCCTCTTATAGTTATTTTAGATGTTAAAACTAGAACTAGAACTCTCTAAATTTTAATATTGTTAAATTATGTTAGAAGCTTCAATACTTAGATTGTTAATTTTTTGTTTTAGTCCTTAAAGTCTCTTTAAATTATTTTGTGTGAGAAATTTGTGGTGCAATAAAATGTTATTATGACATTTTTTCATAGGTATATGTATTTTTTAATATCTTTTATAAAAATGTGCATATCTTACGATCTATCGGCATCCTAAGATTGTATTCCTATATGAGTCAACTCTGGGACTAATGTAAATTATCTTTGTTTGAAATGATATATTAATTTCAGAGAATTGTTCTTTGCAGCCCTTCTAGATTTTTTCCAGCCCTTTTGGGCTTTTTTTTTTGTTTTTTGACAGCAGTTCCAGGCTTACAGCTTCTCTCTGAATCTGAACTGCATTAGCAACCGATCAGCAGTTTTGCATCTGATGTAGCTGTCACCATTGATTTGGGATGAGCAAATTCATTACACAACAGCATTCCATGAATGTCAAATACATGAGAAGCTCAAAGTAGCATCAGTCATGCAAAGAGATTGCAGGAAACTAATGGGGATGACTTAGTCACTCGCAACGGTTTTTGTTTACGCATCTAGAATAAGAGTGTGAGAGAGACGAAAAGAACTGCATATACATAATGAAGTTATAGAAAGGGTATGAACCCATGGAAACACATAAACATTGACAAAAAAATGAATCTGAATGTGCCCTTTAGGACCCCATGACCATAGACGCTTGCCTTTCCTATCAATGCATAGAACAGTTTCACAAAATACCCTAAAAGGTAATGTCCAACTACAGTAATATAGGCGAAACCACATTCCACTAGAAGAAACCCACCCAGCGACATCAAGTAACAAAAAAAAGGAACAATTAACAACTAATCCAGTGATAGCTTGACTAACAAGTCGAGCATCTACTAGATTGATGTTAATGGCGATTCAAACATGGAAGCAAAATCTAGTCGGTGTGAACGCAATTGCAGCAACCTCAATAAAGCTCCCTGTGCCTTATCTGCATACTGCTGTCCCAATACACTTGACCAAGATAAGGTTGTAAGCTTGGCTACCTGCTTCTCCCAGTTCCTCAAATATTTTGAGTAGGGCCCTAAATCTTCTACAAACATTACAATGCGAAGTAGAAAGTCCATCCTTCTTAAGATGTTTGAAGTTGAACATCCCGATAGTAACGATGCCACCATTGATCTTAAGAAGTTTGAAGTTGAACATCCAATACTAAAGATGCCACCTCTCTTACCTAAGTAGGAATGGTGGTGGTAAAACCATGTGATTGGATTCCTGTCTCCTATGGAGCTAAATCATTGTCTTCAGCCCCGTCCCCACACTCCTATCCCCAAATAAACAACACTACGATGCAAATACGAGACAATGTGTAGTTAATCCATCCATTTCACTAATGCAGCCTCGTTCTTATCTCTTTCAGAATAAAGCTAAAGTTTCTTTCTAGAGTCAAAAGGTCCCTTCTTAAGAGTACCATTCCAGATTAGTCCCAAAACTAAATGAACCTAGCAGAATGGGTTGCATATGGAAAAATAAATTATAGAAGGGTGTACCAACACAAAAGTAGGTAACCCGACCACGTTGGAAGGGTCAAAAAAGGCTTCTATCAGGGTAGGAGCAGGTCTGAAAGAGGTGATAAAAGCTAGATTGGATCACAACAGGATCTGGGTTTAAGAGAAACCAACATATCTCTTTCTGACTATGTAGTTTCATTATGAGCAGACCCCTGCTATTATGTTGAATTCCCCGAAGTGTCGTCAATGATCAAAATATCATTTCGAAACAGTCGAAATGTCCAAAACGTTTCCGTTTTCAAGGAGATCGAAACGAAACAGTGATAGAATTAAAATTCTAATATTTTGAGGTATTCCATAATTTTTCGAGATATATTATAATATTTCAATGCATTTGCACAATTATTTTGGAATGTTTCAAGGTATTTCATGATATTTTGATATATTTCAATCAATATTTTAGAAAAATAATTCTTAAATTTTTTATTTTTTTCATTATATTTCCGAAACGGATCGAAACCGAAACACATCGAAACGTCTCCGTTTCCTAGGTGACCGAAACAATACACTGAAACGAAATTTTGATCCTTAAGTGTCGTACATTTATGTGTCTCTAGGTGTAGGGAATTTGAGCTCATTGTTATCATGATAGTGAAGCCTCCACTTGTCTTCCCTGCTCCCCACAAATCCAACAACTCCACTGCTAGAGGACACGAGTCATCACTGCCAAAGCACAGTCCTGGCCTCCCACTTTGCCATCACCTGTTTACTCTACTAAAGCATTGGTTCCATTGAGCTTGGGAATGATTTTTTTTGTAAAGGAGTTTCATGGCCACATGTATTGCCATCATTCCATTACAACTAGGTCCTCTAGGAGATTGCTTTTCCACTTAGTGATGGTGATGATGAGGAGCAGGAGGAGGAGAAGCACAAGAAAAGAGGATAACAAGCTATAACGAGAACAAACAAACCTACCTTGTCAGAATGTCAGGATCTACATCCTCCCACTTGACTTCTTCAATAATTTCCACAATGTGCTTTATCCTCTGCTTTAACTCCACAGACTCTAGAAGATGCAAATCATGGCTCAAAAATGTACCAATACCAGCCAGGCGGGTCACCTATCAAATGGCTCATAAGATGTAAATAAAAAGAACTGTGAGATCAATGAAAATATCATTAAAATTATAAACAGAAAACAGAACATATCAGCCTATGAAGCACTGATCCAGATATGGCATACTGATATGATACAATACAGATAAGGCGACATGACAAAATCTTAAAAACTAGAATACAGGTACGGATAGGTATATAATGAAATTGAGTTTTATATTTTTATTAAAATGTTATATATGATAATTTTATATTTGACGTAATATTTTAGTAGCTGTTAAAATGTGGGTCAATGAAAAATTAGAGCTTTAACTTTTCAACAGCCAATTAAAATTAGGATATTAATTTTACCTGGCCAACTGGAATGCACTCAAGACAGAAACAGTGCTGCTCTTGAACTCTTCTCTTTTTTTTCCTTACCAGATGGGCTCTCTCACGTGGAGACAACAGCCCTTCCCGTGAGCTACTACCAAGGCTGTTTCTTTTTTTCCCTCTTTTTCTCGAAGACTATCTTCGTCATGATTTCGGCTCATCTATATCTCGAATTTCCAACTCACTCTCTCTATTTTCCACTCTTTCTTTGTAGATTCTCTCTAAATTTCCTAAATCTCTGTGGATTGGTCATTCGATTTTCTGACGAGAAGCCATAGAGCTGTAATCGAATTGTGGAAGAAATTAGGGTTTGTGGGTTCCTATGGAGAGCTCAGCCACTGAGGTCACTGTTGCTATAGCCAGTTCTGGTGAGGCTTCTACTATTGATTGGATTGGTGTTAATTTTCAGCAGTCGTTTGTGGACTTCCTATGGCTATTTTCTCACTTTTTTTCGATGTGTTTGATTGTGATATATTAATTCCCAAGGATTGAACCCTGTTTCGATCAATGTTGGATCTCTGTTCTTGTGTTGAATTTGTTGGTGGGCTTATTTTGGTTTTTATTTTTTGCCAAGTTTTATCCACTCCCATATCCGTCTTGAATCCCTATGTATCAAAAATAGAAAACAACGCATTTCATTGGTAATCGGATACATGCAATCTGTATCCGATATGTATCATTGTGTATCCATCGTGTATTCACATCCGATACGTATCAGATACTGATACTTCAACCTGACCGGAGTATCTGTGCTGTGCTCCCTAGATATCAGCATTGTTTTGCTATTGAGAAAACAATATAAAGACTTGATTTCCCTCATAATCCTAAAGAAACAGAGTTCAGGTTCAATTCTAACTGCTAATGCCTAAATGGTCCATATCAAACTCACCCTGCCATTAGTGATAACTGCATTGACACCATGTTCAAGCCCAAGTTGCCCGTATAAAAATTGTGCCACCTGCACAACATTGAGAACTGTGAAGGTGAATAGTGTGTCACATCTACATTCAATCATCTCATGCACATCCAAGATGGAAAAATGTTAAAAAAAGAATAAGTACAGGAGGTGAGAAACTCAAATGACACCTAATGAAAACTAAAAGGGGAAAAGGTCACGATTAAATTGGTTATTGCATTATCTTCAAATACACCTCATTAAAACTACAAGTGAAGGCAAAAGGTCATGCCCAATCCAAATAATGGGATTACTAAGAACAGTCCCCCATTCAATTTGTCATAGATAAAATCCTAGTGCTTTTATCCCGCCAACACAGAGTGCTGGGAGGGGTGGACTGGTTATCAACAAAAGCTGTAGGCTTCCAAAAGCAGAAAAATAATTTGCTGCAATTAGCGAACAGATCAGTTTAGATAAAATACAGTTGGCAAAATAAAAAGAACTTATGGTTTGCGTGCATTTGACTATAACAGATCCACGATCCCAAACACAATGCAAAATTACCTTCTTCAAATGACTTTTTAACTTGTCAATGGAAAATACAGAGAGAGCAGATTTATAGCTCTTAGATGGTAGCCCATTTGCATCAGCGAGCTCAATGACTTTTTTGATAAATTCTTGATTGCTTTCAGCAACAACAGAAGATGCAAGCATGTATTCACTCTCATAAAATGAGCACAGTTGATCCAGGAATTCTAACACCTTTTTCTTATGGCTGCAAGATGCCAAAGGAAAAGAAAAGTGAAAAGGAGAGAGCGTGGGGAATGCGAAGAGAAACAGAAAGCAATTAAATGACTAACAGCCAAAAAGAAAAAAACTGTTCTAACTGAATAACTCACGAAGCAAAAAACACAAAGTAGTCTCCATTGCAANACAGAAAGCAATTAAATGACTAACAGCCAAAAAGAAAAAAATTGTTCTAACTGAATAACTCACGAAGCAAAAAACACAAAGTAGTCTCCATTGCAAACTGGACAGACCTATATGAGGATGCAGTGAGTTCAAAAATCTTCATAAAAAGGAGACTGGGTGAATCAGCATCCCGATTGGTATTAAATAACACTCCTAAGCGAGCACTATTAGAACCTGCCATCTGCAACGCAATGCAGNACTCACGAAGCAAAAAACACAAAGTAGTCTCCATTGCAAACTGGACAGACCTATATGAGGATGCAGTGAGTTCAAAAATCTTCATAAAAAGGAGGCTGGGTGAATCAGCATCCCGATTGGTATTAAATAACACTCCTAAGCGAGCACTATTAGAACCTGCCATCTGCAATGCAATGCAGGCATATCAACCAAAAGCACAAAAAGAAATACTGAACGTAATGATCAACCACTTTAGTTGCACATACCAGATAGCGTATTCCTTCATGAATCAACTTCACCCCTTTCTTCGAGGAGACGTCAACAGCAAGAAGATGAGTCACAGGCTTCAAATTATCTATAGCTGGAAGGTGGATCCAGGAACCATATGTCAGAAATTCAATGATTTAACAATAACAGGCGGAAGGTGGATCCAGGAACCATATGTCAGAAATTCAATGATTTAACGATAACAGGCGGGAGGTTAATGGTTAAGGTTACAGCTTACATTCAGGAGAGTGCAAGTAGTGGATGTCATTTAGCACTGATTCCTTTCCAAAAATTGATGCAGAGAAAGATATAAATCTTGGTTTGACCTTGCCATTCCCTATAATCTGCATGATTGAAGTCGCATCAAAGAATAAGTGAACAGATAGATATTACACTAAAAAAAGAAGAGTTTTGTATATGCTCATACACACTAAAAAACTGAAGCAAATGAATGTTTCCTTAGGCATCTCAAGAATGCTTTACCTGTGGGTTATATCGCTGAATACCACTTTCAGATAAAAATTTGTCCAGAACATCAGTATGAGAATTTATATGTCCATAGTAAACTTGTTCCTGTATTCTGGGAAGCTCATCGTTCATGGCATTCATAAGAGCCTCCTGAAAACAGTGCACCCAAAAACTTTCTGTCGTCACTTAAATGTGTACCAGAGTTATTATGACTACTCCACATGCGCATCAACAAACTTCTCTTGTTCTTCACACCAAATTGAACTTGAGCACATTGTGACATGAACATATCATAGATCAAACTAAAGTAGGCTTGATAAAAGAAAACTC